TAGTATGTACTCATAAATATTTCAGTTTAGATTTACAATTATGGCACTCGTACTTACATTTGCAAGTCTCGATCTCTAACATGGATTCTAAGCCTACCAGAAGACTTGTATATTTAACACAATCATCAGAACGTTGCCTTAAATGAGGAGCTTTTTACTGGTTTTACTCTGATGATACTCAAGCTTGACTTCCTAAAACAATAATTTGACAGGCTCTCTGCACAAAGTTTACAATGACGCTAAACCATCCTACAAAAACCTATATAAATGTGTTAGTATATTTTCTACATGTCAGTTTTGTGAAAGTCAGGGGGGGCTCTAGTGCTACTCCTCATGGGAAGGGGAGTTTGTTTTAGCCCATCGACCTGTCAGCATGTCTTCAGGAAGTGGGAGGAAGCCAGAGTGGACATGGGGAGCATGCAGTCTCCACACACTTCAGGCAACTGTGCCTGGAATTAAGGAGCTGAGCTGCAACACTAGTGTCCCTGCAAACAAGCTGACATTCTTCTACATAAAGGTCCTGCAAGCAGCTCAGCCAGGGCAGTCAGAAAACGCCATGAACACAATACTGTCCTTTCGTCTGCACTGCACTTCCTGCCATCAGTGACACGCGGGCATCCCAGAAAGGAGAACGCTGTCCTCTTTTCTTGAACACAGCACTGTGGATGCTGTCTGCGGCTGCAGAGTGTGCCCTCCCTCGACTCAGAAAGCGTGGTCCCCGAGAAATTAGCCGAGGGTACTTGCACGCGACAGGCTTCTCCAGACACACTTCTTACCTGGAGGAGAAGGAAGCCATCATGTACAGACAGAGAGAGGAGTTGCTGGCTCGTACCTCTGACTGCTGGATTAACAAAGAAGGGATGCTTCCTCTTTAAAGCACAGTACTAGAACTAGTGCACAGCACTGCACTTGAAGAGCACCCAGCCCAGCAAGGGGAAGGGTGCATACTGTTCCTGATGAATAATGTTAGGGTCCGTACATATTTGAACTTGTGCTTAAATCTCGGGAAAGATGACATTTAAAACCTTTGCTAAAATTAGAAAGCAGTATTGCATATTTAATAAGTGAGTGTTCTGAGATGCTATGTCACGCTCCCCAGTTGTACAGCTGTCCTAGTAAAGAGGACACATCTGGGTTGCCATCACACAGGGTGCAAGGATGTCCCAGGTACCTTCGTGTAACATGTGCAAAGAGAACAGTTCACATGTTATTATGTACTATATGGGCCTTTTACTTCAAGGAACACAATTTCAATGTGTCACGTCATAAGGGATTACAGGCATGACATGACATGACATGAATGTAAATAACATCCGTATAAATATAGATAAGGGATGATTCAACACGAGTTAAAAATGGAAAACAAAAATACCACCAACAGTTATAAGTATCGCTGCTGATGCACTTATAAGGCTTTTATTTGACTAAGTAGTACAGTACGTAAACCACAGACAGCATATAAAGCTTTATTTAACCTCCATTAAACAAATTCATAAATACTGTAAATCCCCTCACATTCCCAAATCTTAATTTTATTTAATATTGCATTTTATATTAGCACACATGAATTATGAATACCTTACACGTAATGCAGCTTAAAAGCATTTAAAAAAGGCTATCTTTCCCGAAAGTGCTTCTTGAACATTTCATAAAAGTTGCTAAAATCCTCTGCGTTAGCATCAGTTATATTTCTAGCAAAAGAACAAGTTGTGAATACAAGACTAAATACTGTATTTTATCTGAAATAAATCACTTCTTAAGAATAACATAATGATATGTTTCTCTGCTTTGAAAGAATAAAAGTAAAAATATACACAGCCCTTTGTCTCAAGTCATTTATTTTCACGAATAAGCTTTGTGCTCTAATTTATATTCACCCCCTCACAATGGCCACATCATTTAACCTCTGAACCCCACGTTGCTAGGAAGCATGAAGAAGCTCTGAACCAATGCAGATTTGGCTGCACTTACTGTGGAGCCATTCAGCACCCTCTATATGGGCTTCTTCAGGCTTAAACCATTCAGAATTTCTCTTCTGTTCCTAAGCAAACCGATTGTCCCTTTTCTAATCTGTTCTTGCATGTATTTAAACTTTGAGGAAGTAAAAGCCTGGTTTTTAATTCATTTTCGAAATAAATGTATTTCAAGTAATAGGAGGCAAACCACTGCAGACTATTAACGGATATAGCAGTTATGCACAAACCAAATATATGTGCATTCCTGAAATTACAATTAGGCTTGCAACTCCAGAGTCAGAGAGAAAACATGGATCCAACTTTATGACATTCACTGATAAGCCTTGCCCCTTAAAGAAAAACATTACCAATTCAGAACAGCCTTTTATTTCACAAAAATGCTAATTCCAGGAAAGGGTTTCATTAGGGCCAACTGACTGTACAAAGACAATTATGTTTAATGTATTAGGGAAACGGAGACCCCCAAGTCAAAGGACACATCATGCCTTCTGAGAGGCCGTCTCCTTTTCAAAACTCACTGAACTGACAAAGACTGCATTTGTACTCTTACACACTGGGAACTCATACACGAAGAACAAACTTTAAGATTTCAGAAAGAAAAGCTCCCATCCTTCAAAAGAAAGTTGCTTAAATGGCACATAAAGAAATGACCCTGTTCTCCCAGACACGCTCAAATAAAAAGCCCTTGCCAACACTCAAATGCCGCTGACTGCTGTTAAGTGAATGTATTGATTCTCTGAAACCACACTGAAGCTAACTTATAGAATGCCCTCAATAAATGTAGACCGACCATCTAAACACAGTTCTGTTAATATACTGCTCTCTCTTTGTGCGTGCACACAAAAACTGTCTCAGAGCCTGCATTTCCCCAGGTAAACCTTTACACAAGAGTGAGATTATGAAAAGACAAAAGGATCTAAACATTAAAAGTCTGCAAAGTGAAGCTCATTCTCTTGGAACACAATGGCTTCAGTCTTTAAAGGAAAGGAGGCACCTCAACGCTGAAGAAACAAGTCTGTCCTAAAGACAATTCAGCACCCGGTCAAGTGACAGCGTAGGTACAAGATACCGGTGCTGCATCTGATTTAGCGTGTCGGAACAAAAACTACTGGATACTGTTGTTACAATTCGAAACGCACATCTCCCAAGGGCCTTGCAAAGGTGTTAGAAAAACAAAATGCAAATTCCAGAGAAACAGCTGGGGTGGGGGGGGGAGACAGAGCCAGCCACCCCATTATTACAATGAGCACTGCCTTACATAGAGAGTGAGGAAATTGGGGAAATCAAGAAACACTGCATAAAACTCACTTTTGAGGAGCAGAACCTCCTGTCCAAAACAGATATTAGTCTTCCGCATAAAGGATCTATGTAACTGATGGCTTGAAAAGTACCACTGGAGTTAAAAACGCTGACCTCTGAGCATCCTGACTAACTAATCCATCCCCCTGTCGGGTGATAAATGAATTTTTAAAACATCAGTATGTGTACTGTGCACTGTGCAGATATTTTCTTCATCTCACCTGCCCTGACCTCAGACGATTAAATCTAGTTCAAGCAGAAACAGTGCTACTTAGAGGTACGATTTCACTGCTGGCATTAAATACTAAAAACAAGCATACCTGCCGCATGTTTATTGCTCATCTGGGGTAAGAGGGTGGGAGTTTTCTTTACAGTGAGGAGTGGGGGGGCAGAGACTGTGCATTTTGGTGCAGCAGCACTGGCTACAGCAATATTTCAAACGCTGCCTTCCCACCTCGCTGTCCTACTCCAGACCCCACGGCGGCTACCCCTGACCAGGCCGCCTCGCCTGCTCGGGAGCATTGCAGTGGGGAAGGAAGCCCTTTTTCTGCCTTCCTTGAGACCATCTGCTAGCAGTTTATAAAAGGGCATAAACAAAGGCGGAGAAGAAAAGATATCCAAATTGACAACCCCCCCCAAAAAATAAACCAGGCTGATATCTGACACCAGGTAAACTCAAGGAAATAAACAGAGATTGTTCATTGGAAGGAATGACAGTAAAACTCTTACTTAAAACTCATCGCATTATTTGATACTTTGGCCAAATAATGTGATGACAGGATTCACTGGAGAAGACACTGATGTTGGGAAAGATTGAAGGGAAAAGAAGAAAGGGGTGGCAGAGGTTAAGAAGGAGAGACAGTATTACTGAAGTAATGAATTTGAATTGGTAGGAGCTCAGGGAAGCAGTTGTTGACAGACAGGCCTGGCCTGCTGAAGCCCATGAGGTCACAAGGAGTCGGGACTCAACTAAACACACACAAACAAATATCTCACTCATGTGTAGCATGGCCTGTGAGCTGGGAGTAGGCGACCATAGACATGATGTTTTCTTAAGTGGAAACATGCAGGTGAGCTGAAAGCCCTCCCGAGCCAGCTCAGTTCACACAGCCTCCAGCCCCTCCGGTTTCAGCTACAGGACACTACACAAGAGTGGGGAGCCGCTTTTCCTTTGCCAACCCAACGGAGCTGCAGGCTGCACAACGTCTTGAGACGCCCTGTCACCAATTACAAGGCTTCTGACATCAAGTAAGGCAGACTCCAGCAGCCTTCTGCTTGCTCGCTCCAGCTAATGACTAGCAGATAAATTAACAGAGAGAGGAAGGAATGGACATGCCACAGAATTGATACTGGGACCTCACAAACACCAATTAGGGCACATTCTTGCCAGAGGAACGAATGCCTGACGCTTGTGTGAAAAACCTTACCGACAACATGGTACAAGCGCATCACTGGAAGGTCCTACCGGAATGCTCGCTAGGTTCAAAATGGTGAATGCATGCCAATTTTGTTTTGCATCGTGCATGAAAACTAAGACTTTCAGCCCCATTTCGCCACAATGAACCCAAGACTTTCACTTGCGTCTCTAAAGCCAGCAGATGACAACACAATTTATCTCACAAACAACCCCTCCTCCCCCCCCCCCCCCCCCCCCAAACACATGCACACACACACACCCGGCCCAGGCTTTTCGGCTTCCCCACTAACAAAGAACATCCCACCAACCTGATGTCATATATCCTCGAGCGGCCTGGGAGATGAAAGCAGGCGGAAAGTGTTTGTGCACACGGTAGTCCTTCTCGCTGCGGGACCTCATGCGGTCCGAGGCCCGGTCGGAGAAATCCGAGCTAGGCCAGGCCCGGCGCAGGGTTGTGCTCCTCGTCTTCTTCATTGTGCGTGGCAGCGCGGGGGGTTACCTGCAGATTAATCCCTCCGCGGCATCAGCCGGGCCCCACAGTTTTGCCCTGTGTGTGCCCTGGAATATCAGAACGGAGGCATGGTGGGGAGAAATGGAACCGGCTCTCTCTCGCGCACATACACACACGCACGCAGACGCGCGCGCATACACACACCACACACACGCTCACAAATACTACCGACACGCTACTGCCCCTGGTGCTGCAGCTGCCTTCGATCCAGACAGAGCCGACTTTGGGTCCCCTTCCTCTTCCTCAACTGATCCAATTTTACACACGTCCCACAATGCATTACACTTCATTTGCAATCAGTCCGGCTTATAGTTTCCAGATTCATGTGCAGGAGAGGCACATAATGTCGCTTCTCAGCCGATGGGGGGGGTTGGTGAATAGTGGAGGGGGGGGGGGGTTGGTTGGTTGGGGAAGCCAGAGATTTGCAGCAAGAAAAGTGCTGGGATTCAAACAATAGCTCGATTCAGCACGGGAGCGCTTAGCCAACTGTGAGCGGTGAACACAAAAGGCCCAAACAAATGAGAAAACCCACGGCCTTTCGGTTTTGACCTGAAACCAGGCTCTGCAGGCTGCTGAAGAGAGGCAGCGTCAATCTCCGCCGCCTTGGGATCAAGGATGAGGCTTCGCTGTTGATACAGCAAAGGGGGAGGAGGAGGGAAAAAACGAGTGGGGGAGAAAAAACAGCCACAGTGGGGGGGTGGGGTGGGGGGAAAAAACAGATCCTCTTTCTTCTTCGCCTATCAGAATCCAATCAAAGAACCAACGAAGCCCGCTGAGCAAAGGATGCATTAATCAGGAAGGCAATCTCCATTTAACCGTTCTGCAGCTGCTGCTCCTCGTGCGAGTGTGCGTCTGCGTGTGCGTGGCTGCGTGAACGAGCCGGCGCGCGCCCGCGTGTGTGCGAGACAGGGCGAGAGGGTGCCACAGAAAAACACAGCGGCCGCAAAGGTCCTGGAAGCAATTTGTTCCTGCGAGACCCAGATCCTAATGAAGTCCGAGAGCCACGGCGGAGCGTCTTCTCCGTTCGCCCTTTTCAGCAGCCCCCCTCCTCCTCCTCCTCCTCCTCCTACCCCCCCACCACGACTCGCACGCACACACCTCTCCTTTCAAGTTAGTCCACAGACGCCGCCTCTGTCCTCTCAGTCCTGCAGGCGCGGGGAGCACGGGGCTGGGAGAGGGAGAAGGCGCTGGGCTCCACTCAGCCAGCCGGGTCTCCCACCACTCGGCTTCCTCCGCGGCTCCTTTTCCTGAAAGGCTCCCCGCTCACGGAGACGGCAGGAAGCGAGTCAGCCACCCAGTCCCCTGCTAATCAGGGAGCTGTCTTGTGTTAGACGCGCTGATCCTGTCAGGCTTTGCATTTTAATGTAAAACACCCCCCTCGGGCTCCCTCAACCTTTGGCTCGGATCCCAGCCTCCGTGCAGCACCGGCAATATTTACATACAAGGCTGCACAATTTTTAGAACAGCCCTGCCTCTCCTGTTTCAGAAGGCAACCCTCTTATCCCCTGCCGCAAGAGATCACAGTGCAGCCTCTGCTTTCCTTTGTGAGCTCCTCTCTTTCTCTCTCTCTCTCTCGCGCTGCTTTCAGTTTCCCCTACATGCACACAGTCCCATTTCCACCCGGTTCCAATCCAGAAAGGCAAGAAAGGGTCAACCAGTGTAACAGCTGCGAAAGAATTCCACTGGAAGGCAATTCAACTGCTCCCTCCACGATGGCGGAACAGAAATAGCAGGCAAACTGGTTCACTGGCTACTACCAAGCAGCTCCGCTCCGGCTTCAGCCAAGAAACGCTGCGCTGTAGCTCAAGTCTCCATACAGCTGTTGCAGCCCTTGCAGCCAATCATGCCTTGACAACAATCCCCCCTGGTGGGAAAGTGGGAACAGACGCGCTCCAGCCCTGTCACACACGCACGGGCTGCTCCTCTGGGCGAAACGGGGAGTGAACCGGGGGAGGAACGGGGAGGGGAGGCACACGGACAGTTCTCCGGCCGCGGCGGCAAGGCGAAGCACAGATGGCAGGAAGGCTCGTCTCCTCCTTGTGAGCCGGGCACCTCTCCCGACCCGCCCTCGCTTCCAGGAGTCGAACTCGTGCATCTGCACAGGAACACAGGACCGGATCGAGTGTCAGCCCCGCGGAGCGAGACAGAAACTCTGGCTGGCCGAAGGCCGTGCAGAGCTGAGAACGAATGCCTTGCGTGCTGCCATCACTTTCAAAGCAGAAAACCCTATTTCCCTCAAAAAGCTGCCCTGTCGTAAAACAGACTGCCACACAAAACCACAAACGTAAACATCTTTAGCATTACTACATCTACAGCGAAAGTTTATTCAGCTCCCTATTTCCCACAGAATTTCACCAAAGGTTTTCTCCGTGTAATAAAAAACAGCCGTATGTTGTACTTTGCTCTTTGCTGTTTTCGGCCATGAAACACAATGATTAACTACTCTTCAAAGACTAGTCTCTTACTGAGCAGGCCTGAGTACAGCGCACGGTGTCTCGTTTCACAGAAATAACCAAAACCCCCTTAAGTCATTTTTTTTTTTACAAGGAGCCTGTCTTCTTCAGATATTTTAGCAAGCAAGCAAAAGAACGGCTGCAAACACAGGGGAACCAAAGCAAAAATAGTCATCACTTGTAACATTCACAATATGTTACCTACAATAGGTTTATCTGTATCTTAGAAGCATCACTCCCTGTAAGGACACATACAGATCAATCTAATTATCATAAGGCCCATCAGAGATCAGATGTTACTGTTTTAGGTGCCGATCTGATTATTAATTGCACATAGTGAAGTCTCCTTTTGTCTTTTTGTCCAACTGCATTGATTAACATAAGATGTCAGGGCGCAGTGAGCACGTTTTCAGGGTTCACCGAGCTGCGATAATGCAGACCTCCCCGCTCGCTCTTCCCACCATTTCTTTTCTATTCTTCACAATGGGCAAAGTTTGACCACGTTTTTCTTTTGTCTGAACTGGGTGGTTAAAAAAAAGCGAAACATTTCAGCACCAGAGGGGGAGCAAACAAAGCGAAGACCGGATTTACAAACGGTCTCGAAAGGCAGTAGAGAAGCCCAGGCAGAGGAGGCATTAAAGCAAAGCCGAAACCAGAAACAGACAACTCTTGACAAAGCATATATTAGACTTAGTCCCTCACGTAAAAAGCAGTAACAATGGGCATATATTCTCTTAAGCGCTTTGCATGACAAGAAAAAACGCATCATAAATGTATTTCTGATGAAACAGTGCCACCTAACATAAGCAGAGCAAAAGAGCTTTTGTTTCGGTGTTGCATTTCAATCAGATAGATATGAGTGGAAATGATGTATATCAGCATAAACGTACAAAACATTCAGATATGTTTAATGCCTGCAATTCTGGCCAACTAAACTTGAGCACAAAGTCAGCTCCCGTTATGAGAAAACTGAACCCACACCCAGCCTGAAGCACACGAGCTCGGATCAATGTTACATTTTACACTACGGACCAGATTAAATCATAACTTCAACCTGCCAGCCAACCCAAAACAGCCCCACCTCTCGGTGAGTTTGCAGGGGGACGAAGCCACAGGGAAACAACAAGCCACTATCAAGAGGATTTTTAATTTGCAAACTTATTCCTCCTAGAAACTTTGACCCACCCTATATTTTTAAGAAGATATGCGGCTCATATCGGTCAGGTCGCCTTCGGAATGGTTTGAGTTTTTTCATCGCTTTTGAAAAGCCTCTATATCGATGCAGAGATTAAATCAGAAAACAATGTAGAATTAGCAGCTTTGAGAAAACTGAGGGGTGGAATCGACAGCATTGGAAGGCATGAACAAGTCCAAGCATTTTGCTGAACTGGGACAAAAGGTTTTGCGAAACCAATTCAGCACAAAAGCACCTGATCATACCCATGGCCAAAAAATGCCTTATATTAAAACTAATGCAGACTGCAATCCTGTTCAAATGTAATTTCCCACCTGGGCCCCAGTATGGGTAAAATAACTTTTTCTGTCTTTCATAACTCTGATCTAAAAAGTACTGTACTATAGAGAAGCACGGAAAATGTGTCCTCAACTAGAATGATAACAATTAAACATTACATTTCATGCTGGCTGTGTGAACTGTTCGTTCACCCATGTCAAGATTTACACTATTGCAATCATTAACAAGGAAGTGCTTTATCTGGCTCAATTAGGCAGAATGGAGGACTTGCATGGTCATTTGCTCAATAAAAGGTACTTATCTTTATGATAAAGAACTAAATGCACAGATTCTAGGTCAGCTGCACTGTGTTTTATTTGTTTTAGGAAACGTTCCAAACCAAAATGTTTATGAAAGTTGCTTAAATTACAGAGAAATATAATGTAAGAAACACTGTTGGAAAAACACCAAAACGGGGACTTTTTAAATTACTTATCACACTAAATACAAATTTCCTGAAAAGGAAATGTAAAAGCCTGGATTATATATCAGTAGCTCAGTAGGTGCAAACATACATGGGGTTTACATTTTAAACAGTGAACAGATGCTGTAGGTGTGTTGATTGTTTTGAGTAGTATTGTTCCTTGGGCTAAGAAAATGCTGAGCTTAAGTGATGGGAATTCATAAAGGTATTAGGTGTTTTAATATCAGAGGTGTGTTAAATTCGCCAAAAAATAAATTATTGGAATGATCTAATTTAATAATGGGAAGGACAGAAAGTGATATGTCCATGCCCTGTCTGAATAATGAAGATGGCTGGGCTGCCACTGGCTTCACTGAAGGTGAACCGTCTGTGAGAAAAGTTGCGGAGAGAATGAAATGTTCTGCTTCATCGGTAAGCTGACTCATCTCGAGAAACCAGGAAACCAGCTCAGAGAGGGACAGGTCAGATCCTGGAAGGCAGAGAGGGTCACGGCACCAGACCGGGACCCTCGCCTCTATCTGATCCATCCGCAGAACTGCTTTCACACTCCTCTGGCTGCAGCAGGAGGGACGCGAGGAGGAAGCAACTCGCCTGTCTGCAGATCGACTGTCAGTTGCCGTCGGTTCGAAAATGAGTTGGACGCACCGAGGCCGTCCAGGGGTAAACTTTACAGCTATGAGATGAAACCGTTGTTTTGAAGCGCACCAGCTGCAGGATTTTTAGAGCACCTTCTTCCTTTGCCCTCGACTGACCCTGACTTGTGTGGAGACATACTTCCGACTGTGACCACATGGAAAAGAATCTCCTTGGAGACAAAGGAATCCCACTTGCACACACAGAGGGTGACCTTACTCCTCAGTGATACACTGAGGTGTCCTTGAGCCAACAGCTGAGGAAGAGTTGATTTGCCAGTAGGGGTTGCATCACCACTGGGTGCCACGATGGCAATGGTATAAAATCAAGAAACCAGAGAGGTCTTGCCGACTTGTACTTTGTTTCCTCATTCATGTCCAAAAGAGCATTTTGGGGACAACTTGCCCAAACCACCAATAGGTGACAACTGAGACTGACCAACCTTCACCAGCTGTCTGCAACATCTGTCATCCATCCCACAGCAGCCTGTACAGAGGCTGATCAGGTCTGTGTGTCAACACTGCCAGGAGTGTGTTGTTCATGTTCATTGCTTAGTTGGTAATGTTTCCATTCAGACAGTGCAGTCATTTCATAGTGAAGGTGTACAGTAGCTTGGTTTGATGTGCATTTCTGTTTACATCTTCTGAGATCCTGTTTGATATCTATATAAAGCCATTAGAAATGAGTCTTTTTTTCGGGCATCAGGAAACCTATAATGATCAGTAACTCCCAGTAGAACACTGTAAGACAAAGAACTTCAAAGATACTTCATACAGAATACTACAAACTGAATACTTGACAAAGGCCGAAGTTGCGCCACCTACTGACAGGCTGTGCAAATCAGCCGGACTTTGCCATCTTTCAAAGATTAATTAACTGTTTTCCGATACGAGACAGATGCACTGATCCCATTTGCCAGCCACTTCTATCACAGCACAGCACCGAACTGCTCTGTTACTGGATGCTTTGCTTTCCTTGAAAAGTGTTCCGTGTAAAAAAACAATTAAAAAGTAAAAAAAATAGAAAAGCCCTCTGTGTGCTGCACTCTAGCCTCGCTTCCAAGATCTCCTAGCCTGAAAAAAGACAGCTCGGAGTGCTAATGTTCAGGTTGGACCCCAGTGCCTCTTAAGCTAGTTTCAGATCAAATTTCTCACTGCAGCCGTGTCAAGGCTGTACGTGACGACAGGAATGCAGAACTACGGCACACATGGTTCTTTTCCCAGACAAAGCTCTCCACGTGACCTTCTGTACGGAGCACTGAGTCTGCAGACTCCACAGCCCCTCTCAGGGGGATCTCACGGGCTCCAGGGGACTCCACCACTCACCAGCCATGGCCCTGTCTCACTGATAGCTATCGCACTGGAAACGTATCAGTCCTGCAAATGGATGGTTGTTTTTTTTTTTGGACGGCGTTCATCGAGTCGCAAAAAAAAAAATCAACTATTAAAAGACACCCCACTCCCACAGAATTGCACGATGCAGACTGCAAATTATTTCACCTCCCTTTTTTCCCCAACCGCATACTAAATAAAATAAAAAAAAATTCCAGTCAAACTTGCAAATATGACCAAAATTCCATTTCAAAACCCCAAGAGTATTTAAGGCACTATTAGCCAATTCCTATTGAAAAAAACTCAACACGATACCACACTTACCAGACTCTTAAATTATCTCATATTCGCTGCTTCAAATGTTGGTACAGTTGCTACACATTTTGAAACCCAGGAACAGGCCGAGCTCAGGATTTCCTTTCTGCTATTGCCAACCCGTTATACAAAACCCAACTGTAATAACACTGGCGAGCCTCTCAAGGGACAGCTCTGTGGGTATGCAGGTATTTAGCTCTGTGGCTAACCCCACTGTGCACTCTGTGGTGAAGGGTGCATTTCTTTCTGCAATTGCACATTTTTTTGTTAGCACAAAGTAATTACAGTCCTCAGTGAAGTAAACATACAGTACATCTCAAGTGTTGCTAAGTTAGGATCCAATTCTGATGCTCAGCCTATGCCTAGTCTAACCTGCAGTAAGGAGCCAACCCATATAGCAGCTATAGACACACAGCATGAGACTTCATTTGCACTCACACAAACAAGCACGCATTTTGTGCTACTCAGGTTATAGAATTATTAATACATTCTTGATTAATGTTTGCTTAACTTCGTGATTAATGTATTCACTTGTGTTGGGTTTTAAACACATTTTACACTTTTAAGGAGTTCAGAAATGTAAATTCTCCAAAGGCCACACTGAATGCATTCTATCAGTTTTTGGCAACAACAAGCCTCACTTTCTTGATATGAAGATACTAAGATATGAAGTTTGCAGAGAACCCAGTCATTTTGCTTGTA